AGCGCCGTAATGCCGCTTCAGCAGAAGCCTTTGTTCGGCGCGCGTCTCTGCGGCTCTGTGCAGCGGCTGCGGGGTTTTGTGTGCGGTGATTACAGGCGGGGAGATTGTCGCTCTTATTTATTCATACAGGTTCATGCCTCTATTCCCCACTGCCTCTCATCTAGTCTTAGTATAGAAGCGCTCTTCTGTTCTCTACAAAAGCGCTCGTGGCGTCTCACTTTACTGAGCAGCCGAGTGATTTGGAAAGGAAGGCGACGTGCTGACTTCCTCTGCACTTTTCTGTGAATTTTCATTATTGCAACAGCCGTTTCATTGTACAAGAATAAATGCGAAAAGGTCGAAAGCAAACAAATTTGGACGAGTGCATTGGTCTATAAAATCAATGTAGCTTTTATTTATTTAGTAGGCTGGATGAAAATGAAATCTGATGGCGCTTGATAAAAGAAGCGGAAGCTCACATATATCGGGTCAGGCGATGGGATAAAGGCTAATAGAACAACAGAACGCGGGGCTGAAATATAAAATAGCAAGAAATCAGAATAAACAGGAGTGACGAGGAAAGGGTGAAATGGCATAATTTGGAATCAAAGTGAATTTGCAGCAAAATACGGATTTTGATGGGAGGTGCGATCTTTGACATTATAGCAACAGAAGATAAGGAAGGCGTTTTCTCCTTTCTTTTAAAATGGACATTTATTGTACTGTCCTAAAATACATGGAATACATAATTATGTATATGTATATATATTAAAAAAAAATAAAAAATGACAAAATCTCAAGATTAAAAAAGAGGTAGGCCCGGTTTCACAGACAGGGGACTAGGCTTTAGTTAAATTAGGATATTTAAGTAGCTTTTATAAAAATGCCCTTGACATATACATTACTGGTGTGTGCATGTTGAGACAAAACAATGGCACTGAAATATTTTAAGATACATCGATGCAAGTTATTTTCAGGTAAGACAGTTCAAACATGCAGTTTAGACTGGGACTAGCCTTCAGCCTTGTCCGTGAAACCGGGCAAAAAAGAAAAAATTAAATAAAGAAATACATTTTTATTATTTTATTTTTATTACGTTTTGTTTTTATTTATGTTTAAAGTGGATTCATTTATTCATTTATTTGTTTATGGCTTTACTTTTTTATCTTGTTTATTTAATTTTTTTTCTATTTATTTATTATATTATAATTAG